TCACTTAGTTTGGAGCCTAGCTCTGTTGTGATTGTCCCTTTGTAGATCTATTCGAGGGTTTCCCGGGTTCTCCGGCTTTCCACCCTCCGCAAAAATCAACTTCTAAATTCTAATTGGAATGACAGTGGATGAAGAGCTACTCTGTAGAAATGCCACTGCTAAATACCATTTATTTTATATTTTATTCACCTTGTACCTAATGTTTTCCCATTTCTGACCACGTGTCATAAAATAAAATAAAAGATATATAAATAGGATTTCGCTGTGGCATTTCCAAAGAGCGGCTCTTGATCCACTGAAATTCCAATAAGAATTTAGAAGTTGATTTTTTTTGGAGGAAGGAAAACCGGAGAACCTGGAGAACCGTCGAAAAGCACAAGAGAGAACCAACAAACAACTCTACTCACATACGACATCGAGCCCGGCGGGACTAGAACCTGGGTCGCATTGATTTGAGGCGAGTGGTCTCACACCTACCCCACCCATGCTGCCCGATAAATTCATTCCCCAAGAGAATATGATTCTTTGTTCGAGTTACAACCATATTCATGTGTCTCCTCACTATGTGCAACCGTAAAACCAAAAAAAGAGGGATTAGGAAAAACATTACGTTCGAGGTGAAGAGGTTAATTTGGACAATGCTCGGGACATTTAAGGGCTTTTCCCCAGCCCAACTACTTCCAAAGGCGGACACACGGACTTTAAACTCACTTTGAAATCAAGCAGATTTCRTATGACTGTAAAACTTCGTCGAGTCGAATGCCACTGTCGTGTAACCTTGGAACCAATCACAGCACGCGAGAGCACTGCTCAAAAGTCAAACAATCACATGTACGCGTTACGGTCACGGCACGTCACGGCACGTCACGGCACAACTATATCGTGAGTTTTTTACGGTCATATACAGCTATTGCAAAAACGGTTGGCCAAGCTTTTGTGGCATGTTGCATACTGCATGTTGCTTAGTAAGCTTGAAATATATTATATCTATAGTGTAAATAATGCAAAGACAGTAGAAATTATGCCGGAAAAATGATATTATATTTATCTGCCGTCATTTATTGCACTGTCATGATATCGCATGTTAGCATGACAAATCTATTGRAGCGCACAAAATCTAGTTATAATTTCATATTAGGGATGTTTTCATTACCTTTGGTGCATCAAGTTTCACAGCATCTACTAGAACCTATGGATGAAAATTATATTAAAAGGGGAAAAATGAATTTCTCACATCATCTGTRACCATCACCTTATCAGAAATCACCTATATTCAAACCAGCCAATTAGAATACGTCCCCATCAAACTATCCAATCAGAAATCTTCAAGTAAACGAAGTCCAATCAAATATTTGCATTTTGAACTAGAAAATCAGAAATCTCGCATAGGATCAACCAATGAAAATAGATATCCCCAAGAACTAGTTAGCCAATCAGACAACACCTAGCCAAACCATCCAATCAGACACGTCGATGTGATCAGATTATCCAATCACCTACGGCCTGTGACGCGTACCTGTAACTGCATCATCGATCTCTCAATCTTCTTTGTGCTTCCTTTCTCTAGTTTGCTTCGCGTGTGTAAGGCCAGGGTCTGGACAGGCCACGATGATGGCTTGATTACTATACTCTATAGTAAAAATAACAACCAAATACTGAATGCTTCGTGGGTCGTCTAATACGGGATCAAAAATGTTTAATTGAAAACAACCAATTCTCGTGGTGCAYCGACATGACTCAAAATCCTTTGAAATTTAATTAATGAAAAGTCGCCACATTAGTTGTTCTAACAAGAGAAGATAATGAGGAATGCTTTGTTTTCGTCAACCAAGATGGCGGCAATGACGTAACATGCACCCAGAATTACGGCTGGAATTAAGCTAATTTGGGTTGATATAACAAATCGTTGATACAAAGGAAGAACTMTTACGATCTTTGATGTTTTTTTCTTCCTTCCTTCTATACTTTCTATCTACTATGGAAATCAGTATAGAACAGTAAAACAGAGCCCACAAATCTGTACCACGTGATTGATTTTTAGGTACCACGTGATCAGTTTTGAACAAAATGATTGGCCAGGAACAATCACGTGGTACAAAAAAACCCACACCAGAGAGGATTTTTAACGGATAATTTCTTAACGGAAAAACAAAACAACAACAATGATAATAAAAGACATGTAAATAAAGCATGGATACTTACCTCAATATAAGCAACGAGTTCTTCTGATGTCAAAGGCTGCATGGCCTGGCTTTTCTGCGATAAAATACTGCAACAATGAAAGTCAAAAAATAGTCATTTAAATAGATGTAAATGGACAAAACGCGAAATTTTTCCAAGCAAAAATTCGAATGGTTCTCTTCTTTCCAAGTAAAACCTCCGTCACAGCTAGGG